CACACACACACCCACGCACACACACACACACACACACACACACACACACACACACACACACGCACGCACGCACGCACGCACGCACGCACGCACGCACGCACGCACGCACGCACGCACGCACGCACGCACGCACCCACACACACACGCACAGGCGCACACGCGCAAATCTCCGTTCCCCGCCCAAGCCCTCCTCCAGACCACCCCCCCCCCAAACTGAGTCTCCCGCCTCGGCCTCGGCCGGCGCCGTCCTCGGCTCGATCGCCGTCTCGATCGCCGTCGGTTCACGCTCGGCCTTGGCCTCAGGCTCGCCGGAGGCCTGGCAAGTCACTAAGGGAAACTGGCATCCAAGCCAAAAGCCAATGTACCTGAAGTTCTGTTTCAACCCTTTATGAGAATTACACGTTGCCCTCTTCACAATGATGGAAGTGGGGAGCTACAAACCCCTCCTGTCAGCTTCCATGTTTGTCAAAGGAACAGGTAAACTTCCGGGAAACGCAGCTACAACAAGGCTCATGTTACCTCCCAAACATTGCACCATCTCATATAATGTGAAACCCTTTTCACCCTCATCCAGAGAAAGTAAACATATGGAATGGGTTCATCCTTCCACGAAACAAATACTACAGTTGGGTGAAAAATGGAACAATTCCACCCCACACCTCCTGCCTGGGCCGCTCCTCTTTCCGCCTCCTGCTCGGCCGCAGTGTGAATGACCTGGTGCAAGAGTCAATTGAGGGACTCAACCGGGAATCAATCTGAGTGAAATAGAAACAACTGATTTCATTTACCTGTGTAGGAGGCAACCAATGGAGCCACCCTTCAAAAAACATAACAATGGCTGGTTGCCTACACTACAGTAAAATTTAGTCTGGTAACTTGGTTGCATTCCATAATATGTCAGCATGAAAAAACAAGAACGGATTCCTCTCACAAGAGCAATATGCAGGCATGGTCTGTGACCCTTTGAGTTTTCACATAGGATTTCTCCAAAGCCCAACGGGTGACCACAAGGGTAGAACATCGGCCGAAGCAAAGACAAGTCGGCCTGCGTCAGCTCCGGCGGCGGCGGAGGCGGCCTCGGGGGCCTCGGGGGCCTCGCATCGAGGCGCTTCCCAGGATGGGACACCCCAACAAATCAAGCGGTTGGTCGTTCCCTGGTAAACAAGAAAGGGAACAACATCGCCCAGCACGTGTCTTTGGCAAAAAACATCAGACCGTTTTCGCCGTTAGTTAGCAGCACCCAGCCGGGTACGCCTTCCGGAGTTCCTGAACATGAACAGCAAACGCTGTCAATTCCTTATGTCGGCAAAGGTGTCCGTGCCCTTCAGCCGGCCGCGTCTCAACACTCCAAGTGTCACTGCCTTTCTGCAAGCCGGGCCAACCCAGCTGCCCGTGTGGCAGGGTTGACGTGAACGCGTCTCATCCGCTTCCCACCACCCAAGTACAGCGCCGTGTCCTCAGCCGCAAGGCGCATGCTTGCAAGCCTCCGTACTCTGCCTCAGTGGCTTGGGACCTTCGTCACATGGTCTCAGCCTGAGCCATTGAAAGCGCGGCAGTTGACAAGCAGGGCTTCTCAACGCCTCCACCGCTGCAATAACTGGCTGCATGCGTACCTCTGTAATCCGCCCTGGCCTGCAGTGCTTCTGCGACAAGGAAAACCCGTGCAGCACCCATGGCGAGTGCATTTTGGCACGCTGCCCTGACCTGGTCCAGGCTTGAGTGCGTTCCAAGACCGAACACGTGATCTGCAAACTCAGCACTGCGCAGCTCCTGACCGCATGTGATTACAGCTCGTCTGCTTTTATTTGATCTTTCGAAAGGGCTCCTTTATTGATACCCTGTAGTGTTGGCCCAGGACTAACAAACCCCCAGGATTAACAAACCCCATCTTAGAGAGAATCCTTCACTTGCTTTTTGGGGGACGACTCCCTACCTAGGCCCCAAATCCCTACATCTGGGGGCACGTGCTAGGGGAACGTAGTCTTTCTTTTAGATGTTTGGTTGCGGTCCTGGTTGTCTCTCTCTCTCTCTCTGTCTCTCTCTACCTCTCTCTCTCTCTCTCTCTCTCTCTCTCGCTCGCTCGCTCGCTCGCTCGCTCGCTCGCTCGCTCGCTCGCTCCGTCTGGCTATGCGTGCATGCACCATGCGTGAGGGTTGTCATTTCGCATTTGTTCATCTAATTAAACATTTGCATGTGTTTATGCGTGCGTGTGTGAACAGGAATGCGTATAAACCCTCCTTGTTGATCATCCGGGGCCAACAATACAGGGCCCTCAGTTCTAGTTGGAAAATAACTCTGCAGATTGGAACCTGTCTGTCTCGCCTTTTTGGGTTTCCTTCCTAACTCTTTGCAGAGCGTTCAGCTTCCCGGCATTGGTAGACCATGGTTCTCAGCGCCAGCCTGGCTAATCGGTCCCCCGTTTTGCAGGTGGGAAAGGCGATGAAAGGCGGGGGGAATCCTCGTGAAATGAGTTTCCTTTGGGATATCGAAACGAGGGTGAACTGGACATCGTTTGAACGGAGCTTATGTTTTTGTTGTCAAAATGGGAATTGTTGAATGCTGCAGGAAAACCAAAAGGATCTCCAATCCTACACGGACTTGATAAGCACCTCCTGGTCTTCCATTTGCCCACGAAGGGGAACCAAGGGAATTATGTGAGAAAAGCCTCCCTGAATGGACGTACACCAGGACCTCTTTCTATAAATGAATTACGGGGATGAAAAGGACAACGCAAGAATGTGTAACTCATTTGAAAGCTTAAATCTACTTACCAATAATTGGACGACTACAAAAAACCTCAAAGACCGTAAATCACGCCATGCAAGACTTGAAGCCCGAGATCAACGTCAGCGATTTGTTGGCAGAGACACTGACTCCAATCCGTTTGCAACCGCGCCTCAAAAAAGGCGGATCGCGTTCCTGATGAGTCGTTCTCAAAACTTGGTAAAATGTTGGTTGGTATTGTACCCAGGGCTGGGAAAACTTGCGGGGTAAACACCCGCATGATCACCTCAGGGTGATTCTATAATCCGGGGTCGACATTACGTTCAACACCCGTTTTCCCTTGTTGTTGGCGGCTTCCTCCCTGAAAACAGAATCCACACCAAAAGGGGTCCCCTATTACTCCGCTGGTTCGATTCATCCGGACCCTCCCTGCCGCGGCGGCGCCTTTTGCTTCGCTTCTAGGAGTCAGCCTGTGCCTCTTAAGCAATCCGACTCGGTCCCGCAGGGCCTGTGACGGTTGTTCTCACTCCACCAAAAGGAAATCATCTTGAAATCATCTTAAAAGTGGTTCAATGTGTTTGTTCACAAGGGGCGTCTAGTAATTTGTATTTTAGAAATCACTCAAACGTTTCTTATTTTCTCAAGCTGCCAATCCGTTCAGGCAGACTTCTTCGGCAGGTCTTTGGTCCTTGGGCGTGCGCGCTAGCTGAAACAAAGGGCTTCACATCAGTTGGGAAACATGGGTTTCACATCAGTTGGGCAACATGTGTTTTGAACCAGGCCCTGGTTGCCCTGAACCAAAGAAAGGCTGTTCTAAGTGTGGTTTCCACAAGGGGTCGGCCCAATGCCGGTTGCTACAATGTTGTTCCAAGGCAGCTTCAGGTGCTGGATTTGGTGGTGTAGCAGGTGTTGTTCCTCTTACATCACTCCCAAATCCCGCACACACGCGCACAAACAAACACAATGCCCTTGCCTTGTTGACACCCTGTGACGATTTGAATATAGAAGCAGCCTGAAACAAACACACAGATAGGGTGACCCTAACTGGGCTGTAACAAATGAGCCGATGAGCAATGTCTGTTGGCTTTACGATGGCTCTGCCGTTGTGCAGGTTTATACTCCTGAACAGAAAGCCTCCCCCAAAACCTTGCTTTTGCGTATGGTGCCAATCAACACAATATATTTCATGGCAACTTCTCTTTAAAACGTCAAAGATCAACTCGAGCCGGTCATAACTACTGTATTTCCCTACAGAACCAACAGGTACCACATATCGCCAAACTGCTACACCGAAAATGGGAAGCCCAAGCGGCATCATGGCATACTCCTCCGCCCATTCCTTGTCCTCTTTCTCCGATTCAGCTTTGTGCCGTTGCATAGTGAAAGCTCCGATCTGAGCGCAAAGGAGCCTCAGATCGGACTATGGATACGACTCTTACTAGTGGACCCTTTGGTGAAGATCTTTTAGGCTATTTAGGTGTGGATGCGTGTCCACCCACCATTTGGCCAAGGGTTCAGAACTATCATTCATGGCCGTATGTCTCCCCATCCGCTTTTGCGTTCTTGAAAAGCATTGGGTGAATCGTTCATTGGCTTTTCAGTGATTTCTTTGTGGGAACCTATAGAAAGCACCATGTCGCTCCCGAATGGACCATAGCCAAGTCCCATCTACATCAGCCTCAGCTGTTGTCCCCAACCGGAAATCTTATGTTTGACCCTAGCCCAGTTTGTTGAACCTCAACATGCAAAGTCACTTAACACACTCCCACCATTGGTTGCTCTTTCAAAACCATCCGGAGCGGATTCCCCCCCCCCCCGCGTTGTAACTCGTAAAATCTCTCTTTCGAACTATGATGACTTACCAACCCAAAATAGTGGGCGACCCCTATGAAAGGAACCCCTTGTGAGGTCGCAGTAATTTGCTCCGAGAGAAACATCCCAAGATCACATGTCTGGAAAGAACGACCTGTCAACAAATACCGTTCAGCAGGGTCAGCATGTTGTGCCCAATCATTTGGGCGTGTCGCACAGTTGCTCAAACCCGCTTCAGCCGGTTGGTTCCCTCTTGCCCAGTCAAGCCACCTCAGCGGATTCACAATTCATGTTTTCTTGCGAGAGCGCATGTCGTGAGGGCATTGTTCAATACAAATGCTCCCCGAAGAATCAAGTTTAGCAAGGTGCATCAAGTTACCACCAGCTCTGTCTCCAAATCTGGAGCCTCAAACATGTAGTTTAAACGGAACAACCGGGTCTGCCAAATGCAACTTTGAGAACATGTAAGATGTAGCCACTTTAAGCTAGACGCAGCCAATGTCTCCAAATGGAGAAACCTCAAAATGGGTGGTTTACCTGCTTTCCCTCTACCAACTCGGACATCCCAATTTTTGCTGAGTGGCAAAACGATGCTAAAGACTTTGATGTCCCACACAGCGCGGCCCACGGCGCAGTAGAAGATGTACATGGGAACCTAGGCCGCGGTTTTCACAAACGGATGGGGTCCATGGCCTTGCTCCTACGGGATCTTCTGAAACCATGGTTACGGATCCAAGTAATGTGGGTTTTCCTTTTGGTTTCCCTGTCAACCCAGGCTCAGGGTTGATCCAACAACAGGAACACTAGCATATTCATGTGCCTTTGCGCCAATCTCGCAAGTTGCATGATCTATTGCAGCTTGGAGGGCGCAAGCAGCCGGCCAAAAACACAACTCTGAAGAATGACGGGGCCCGATGCCAACCTGAGCCTGAAAGCTGGTGACTATTGCCGAGCAAAAGTGGGGGGATGGCTCTGGGAAGCGAATTTGGAAGGAAACTCTTGTCATCGAGAGAGCTCAAGGAAATGTCTTCTAACGGATTCTATCGTGATCAAGCAACTTTAATCAAGTAATGATAAGGATGTGAATCGCAACTTGGTGTCACAGCCAGGGCTATATCCCACAGCCACGAACTGACATGGGGGAAGTTATAGACCTGGACGGTGGCCATACTTGGATGTTCAACCACTAGGCCTATGGCCATGAATCATCCCCACCTCAAGGATGTCCACAGGAGGGTCCCCAATTAGAATTCATATCATATAATGGTTGCAATCTATGTTCAGTGGAATTGGCCAATCCGGGCCATTTCTCGTCCCAAATCTCGGGGTGCCCAAAGAAGGACGTTCAGATTCTGTTCCATAGTGAGTCGTTTTGGAGGAGTCGCCGGTGATTTTAAATCACCTCGTTCGGTCTCGCCCAGGCACCGCAGATGAGGCCCGACACACGTACCTGGGCCGAATTCTGCGGAAGAGGCAAAACAAAGCACATGTGCGGGCGGTCAAGCCATGCAAATACCCAGACGGACGTAGAAATATTGAAGTATTAGTAAGTCTGTAAGTCCTCAACTGTTTGCCGGAAAATTTAGTGAGTCCCGCATGTCGTGCTGGGAAGACCCCAAATTAAACAACGCAGATCACTGTGTCCTGTTCTCCTGCTTTCAAATGGGCAAGAGGCTCCAAACTAAACAATGAAAGATCTTCCTTTGCGGCTGTGGCACCACCGGCAAGGCATTGCCTGGCATTACAGTTTGCTTCAACAAAACTTGTTGTTTGCGTGTGAGTTTGAGCTTGTCATCTTGTCGTTTGGAACTTGTTGCGGTGGAGCACATGGGCATCCCCGTGATTGATATTGGTGTGTGGTTGGTTTACTTGCAACATATTGTGGATCAAACGCTTCTTTGATTTGCGGGTTCGGTAGGGAACGCTAAGCTTCCCCAAGATTCAAACCATGCAAGTGCCTGTGCACGTGAGTTTGTCCAAACGAAGTAAAAACTCAAAAAAGGCTGTCTGCCTATGAGTTAGATAAAAAATAATTCTAGCAACAAAACATATGTGATCATCGTCATGTCATGTATGGGTTGCCTAATGCCTTAATCATACTTTCGTAATGTGCAAGGATAAACACTGGCTATTGACAGGCGGCTTGCTCTCGTTGACATGCGGGACGGTCTAGTAAAACAAAAAGCTAAAGAAGATCAATACTCCCCTGCAAAGAAACATAGAACACACAAATGATGACCATTTCCCAGAAAGAACACTCAGCCCTCCAATCACCATGATAACGGATCGGGCACATTATTTGGGGTTGGTATTAAAGGGAACTGCCCAACACCAAGGAGGAAAATACTCACTAATCTGGGGAGCTGAGGAGGGGTGGGGGGTCTCTAGTTCCATGGTTCTAGTCATCCCTACAACAGCAAATGGAAACAGACACAAAACGGTCCAGGGTCATCCTACCAGATCCATGTCGCGGGGTTGTTACAACGAAGGGTTGAAGGTCTCAACGCCTTTAAACTAAAAAAAAATGCTAAATCCTACAGGCTCAAAACGATGTTCATTTTAAGCAACAAAACATGGGGTGAAGGTACAAACAGCCTGTGGGTTAAACAAAGCCAACAACATGTTGAATGGTCACATAATCAGGCAACAAAAGCACAAGACGTGCACGACCATGTCAAATCTTACTTTGATTGTCAACAGGTTATGTTGCTTGCTTTACAAGGGCATCAAATCAGCTGCTTTTTGTTTTGTTTTTTGACTGGCCCAGCTGGTATCCTTTGCTTGGCCCGACTCCACTAGTTCTCAGTACCTGGTAATTTTACTCTGCCCAAAGCCCATGCTTGAACCGTCAACATCCCTTAAACGTCACAATTGCTAAAAACAAATCTGGGTGTGTATGTGTTCAACTGGTGTTCCTTTTGGTGTCCCTTTAAAACAAACCAAACGCGGGATGCGGCCAAGCAAACGAAAAAGAAGAAGCCAGCCGTATCGCAGGAGACCCCGTTGGCATTTTTTGGGTCTCAAGGCGCTTAGCCACCGCCGAGAGCCTGCGGAAGACCAGCGCGGAGCTCACCGCGTTGCTGAGGTCCGCGAAAACGGCGAGTAAGGTGTAGCTGTCCCAGCCTGAATCACAAGGCAGGTACCATTGTGCTTGATGTAGATTTATGAATGCCTTTACCCCCCCCCCTACCCCCTACCCCCCGGGAAGGTAGTTGGGTCCTATCCGCTAGGAAGCTGATATATCAGCATCTTCCCTAAGCCTTCCGAAGCTGAACCTAAGAGACCCCTTGATTTTGATCGGAGATTCGAGCTGCGAAACTTGGCTGCGTCCCCCTAACCTACAAAAGTCCATAAGAGATTCGAATTGCTCTTTCTGAAAATGCTGCGTCCCCCTAAGCTTTCCGCAAACATGCTTCCGCAAGGTTTCCTAAGGCTTCCTTAGGGCTTCCCTAGGGCTTCTCGAAGGTTTCCAGCTTCCCTAACGCTTCCCTAACGCTTCCCTAACGCTTTCCTAAACTTCCCTAACACTTCCCTAAAAGCTTCCCTGAGGCTTCCCTAAGGCTTCCCTGAAAACTTCCCTAAGGCTTCGCTAGGCTTCCCTAAGGCTTCCTTAAGGCTTCCCTAAGGGTCCCTTCCCAACCTAATTTGCAGGTTTAGGCGGTACTTCGTGTCCAATCAGATTTTCACGGTTCCCCAAGAGCCTTCCTAGTGTTCCCGCCATGCGCAGGGCGAAGGTCAGGCCAAGTTTCCCCAAGGCTTCCGGAAGGCTTCCGCAAGGCTTCCTAAGCCTCCCCTACAGGAGAAGCCCTTTAAGCTTTAAAGGGGGGCGGGTTAAAGGAGGGGGGGGTACGGGCTCCATACTAGATCCATGGAAAGCAACACATTTTCGCAGAAAGCAGGTACCACCTCCTTTCCACATAGAACCCACCAAATGTTTGTGGCCCCGAAGGAAAATAGTCCAAACCAGGAGCTTCCAGTCAGGTTCCATGTTAGTGGACGCGAGGGCACATCCACCAACAGAAAGCGACACGCTTCTTTACCTAAAACCAAAAAGAGTGCATATACGGTGCGGCTCTTTGACCAGCCGGCCTGGAAAAGGAAACAAAAGTACCTCTATACTAATGTTCTCTGCTTGTGGTTTCGTCGCTTTTTCACGGCAACCAAACATCTGGTGGCAAACACGACTATGTAAGACCCACTGCCCCCAAACCACTACCCACAAAAAACATAGGGGAGCCGTCTGACAAGGGACTGCTTGGCTGTCCCAGATTGGCTAGCTGTCCCAGATTGGCTAGCTGTCCCAAAGCCAAAGCAGGTACCATTTGACTCAAATCCATGTGTTGTCTAAAACACAACTAAACACATAGACTGAAAAACAACCCAAGAAGATCAATTGGTTGCCGCCCTAAATAGGGTGGTTGCAAAATAGACCAAGCGTCCCAAGTTCACATTCATCCGCAGGAGTAAGCTTTCTTCAAATCTGGGCACATTCCTATAAGTTCACAAACCAGAAACAAACAGGACCATGGTTCAGCTCGTTTTACTTACCCCCGAACGAGCTCGATTTAATTTCCCCAGTTCACATTCAACGACACACAAACTGCAGGTGACGCATGGACCTCCTACCTCTTCCCTTCTCCCTTATCCCTGCTAGTTTGCCGCCTGAGTCTTGGCCCACAAGAGTAATTACACCGAACGTCATATTATCCACTTCTGCTTCATATCTAGCCTACTCAAAACCATACACTAGTTTTAGATTCCCTACTGAGGCTTGATTTTCACTTTGAAAATGCGCCTCTGCTGGTGACGCAGACGCAGGAGACCCCGGCTGCCAGCTGCTTGAGGCAGCTAAGGTGCTCGGGCGAGTCGCAAAGCAACTCCGCCGGGCCTCCTGGAAATTGCTCGCGAGGCTCTCACCAATGTGGTGGTTGGGTGCACCCAATGAGTGAGGTCATTCACCCAACAAAAACAAAACGAGGCGGGAGAGTAGACACGGGTATCTGTCAATCAGGGTTTTGGGCGCAGACTCTTTGGGTCCTTGAAAGAAGGGAAACCTACTACTTTCCACAATCTAGAAAATAAGAAAACTCCTCTTGAAGGACCCCATGAGTCATTTTCTCCCGACACGATCGCTATAAGTGCAAATCCCCGTCCTTGGAACCCACATGAACCCACCTAAAGCCATCCGAAACCAACCTGAAGTCACCTGAAGCCACCCGACAACAACAAAACCCAAAACTCGAAACGAGGCCGAATCCACCAACCACTCCTTGAAAGAAGGCCCAGCTGCCCTCCTCATCCCGCAGCTCCAGTGCCACTCGCCCCAGGAAGCCCGAAGAGTTGGCGCCCAGCCAGGCCCCAGAAACCAGCAAGAGCATGGTCACCAGGCCCCAAAAGGCCTGGAAAACTCCATGGCAGTCAACCCCTTCCCTCTCTGTGTCCCTAGAACAAGACCCTTAAGCAAAAGGTTGACTCCCATGAAACCACGGCGAAACATGTGGATGATCTTGGATCATTTTGGAGAAAGCATGGTCACAACCTGCACGGAAAATTGCAGAATCCAGCCAGACTTGCGGCTTATCGGACTTGTGGACCGCAGCCGTTTCGTTGGGCTCCCAAGAAAGACCCCCACACAAATACCCAGAAAATCACAACCAACGTCTGTTGTCCCACTTATAACTAAGTTCTTAGAAGCTTGACCTTAGCCTTGACCACCCCTAGCAAAATGGAAACCCTACAAAATGCCAAAGCCCAAATGCCGGCAGAAGGCCTAGATTTTATGCATTCAACCCTCAAAACCCAAATATATGCTGTGTACTTTGTTGTAAGGGTTGACCACCTTCCCCTGGATAGGTGCCCCACAGAATATGTCTTGAGGGTTGACCTAAAACTACTGGATAGGCCCGTCAATTTTGATTGAAAACAGTTCCCTTCGTTGGATGTTCAACCTATGCCAACTCACTTCAACCTATCCGAATCAGCCTGTTCACAAACGGCTCATGATGGCTAACAGGGCTGGGCATCAGGCACAAAGCAAGTCTGCAATAGCTCCCCTTTCAAACCAACCACCAAAAGGGGTCAACCTCAACCAAATTGGTGTTCTGCTCTAAGCAACATCCAGAGTACCCAAGGAAACCGCTGATTCCTCACTGCAACACGAGAGGAACCATCCCCAAACCCAGCCAGCAACCTGCAAGGCGAGGACTACCAGAAAGGAGTTGCTCTTGTAGGTGTGCTCGCAAAAGACCTCAGTGACTTCAAGCAATTGACGCTACGGTAAACTTTCTGGCTGGACTCAGTTTGTGACTTGCTGAAAAACACAACAACAAAGTGATGATTTACATGTGTATATATATATATACATATATATATATATGCAACCCCCCCCCCATGGACCCTGGTTTTACTGCCTTTTGGGGATGGCAAATCTAGAATTTCCAAATTTATCTTCTCGAAATTTCCAATTGTGGGTCCCCAAAGCGTGATAATTTGGAGCCCGGAGTCCTCCACAATGTCCCAGTATGATACCCTTTGCACATAAGATGTTACTTCAACTAGAATTGGAATTTTGAATATAGTTTAGTATGGATATAGCTTTCAAAGATGTGTTTATGTTCAATTACAGCTTAAACAAGCAAATCCTTTCCAAATAGCAGCTACATGAAAATGTAAATATATATTTTCGGCTAAACTCCAACTAATCTATAACACAAGAAGTTAGATGGAAGTGTTTTCCCAAATATAATCCAAGTGGTAAGTATAATCTAAGACGAACACAACTCAATTTGCTTTTGATAATATCAAGTGAATAGAGACTACATCTCAAATATAATTCATATTAAATATGGCGAAACATTTGGAAATTAAACATAGGATTTGTGTTGTTTACATTCTGGCCCTTTTGTAGCATAAGAAAGGTCCGACATCGAAACTTGTTAGACGGTGTTCCAAAGGGAAATGTCAAGGGAAGAGAGGTTCAAAATCTAAAACTATCTCGAAACAGGGATTCTAGCTAAACCTTTTTTTTAAGTTCTATTTGCGCAGGAAAGTTATTTTTTTGTCAAAAGGTGGAGGTAGTAGATGAGCAAATGTGGACAGGTAGTTGAAGAGGGTGGGGGACGGTGTGTGAACGTACATACATATGTATATCTATATATACACATACATACACACATATGTAGTACCCCCAATGATCATGCGCCTCCTCATAAAATACTGGAAAATGCAGTATTTTTGAGCGTTGCACCTGCCTTTGTTTACCTCCTGGAAAGGGGTCAACATGAGCATAGCTGACATGAAGCTCACCAAAAGCACTTGAAAGTTTGTCTAACCAATAACTTGAAAGTGTGTCCACTGGATCGCTAAGCACTTGAAAATTTGCTACTATCGGATGGAATATTCAATATTGAAGATTACACAGAACACTTTCCTGAGAATTGTCAATCCTGGCCAAACCCAAATAGCATTCAAGTTCTTCTAACACTTGAAAGTGCTTTACCACTGGATTGGGGATTCAATATTGAGGAGCCCACAAACCACCACTTTCCTGAGAATCATCCATCCTGGTCAACCCCTAAAATGTTCAAGTTGTTCTATCACCTCGAACATCCGTTACCACTGGATTGAACTATTTCACGGAAAACTTTTCCGAGAATCTTATTGAACACCGAGAGTATTGGGACAACCCTGGAATTTTTTAAAACTTTTTAAAAATTATGGGATTCAAGATTCAAGATTCAAGATTCCCAGAAAATATTTTCTCAGATTCTTGAATCTTGAATCTTGAATCCATAATTTTTAATAATTTTTAAAAATTCTGGGATTCAAGATTCAAGATTCAAGATTCCCAGAAAATATTTGCTCACATTCTTGAATCTTGAATCTTGAATCCCAGAATGTTTAATAATTTTTAAAAATGTCTGAGTTGTTCTTGTATTCTTGGATGCATTCAAACTCTTTCAGATTGCAGGTGCTGATGTCATTGCTTTTATCACATCTGTATGCATGCATGCGTATCATATACATGTACGACCCTCCCCCCAATTTTGACACAAATCCAAGAAGCAAAAAGAAGCATAAAACACTGGAAAATACAGGTCAACCGCACCAAACCAGGGTCCATGAGGGGGGGGGGTACCATATATATATATATATATATAATAATATATACATATAGACATAACGATGCTGCTTGTTGATTTCAGCCAACCATTGTTGCGTTGGCTTAACTTTGAGGAAGTCATATTTGACGCCCCCCCACCACCCCCCCCCCCCCAGAAGGGCTGCCACACTGATAGAGGGGGTCCCTTTCGGGGCCCAAAACGCCGGCCGGTTTTAAAGCCAGACCCTGGATCACACTGTGCAGCCCCCTACACAGTGTGAGGATGTTCCAACCCTTGAAATATGTCATTTCAATATGTGTAATATATATATATATATATGTATGTGTGCGCCACGGTCGAAATATGCAAAGGCCATGGGCAAAGTCACTGCAGGGTTGTGAAGGTTCCCCTTTCCGGTCGGTGATTCCCAAAGAACCTCCCCTTTAGATGAAGGATTAGTCTTTAAAGTTTACAACAGAACTTACCGTTGCTAAATGTTAAACTTGCGGTGGGATATGTCTGAAAAGCCCAAAATCTTAATAAACCGCACTGAATTTGAAATTCAATCCCAGACCTGTAATGTAAATGTGTTGGTATGTTCTTGGCTCATGTAAGATGGTCCCAAGCCTTCGCCGGGAACCTCGGCCGAGGCCCCGGGCCGAGCTGAAGGCCACCAGCGAGCTTTTGGCCAGCGCCGCCCAGGCGCCTTCCCAGCGCCACTGGGACCCCATGTTCCCCGCCTCACGGACGTCGCATCCGCGTTCCGATGCATTTGCTAAAAAACACTATGGCATGCTGGGCGAGCGCCCGCTGTATGTGTGCAGCACACCCACGGAGACAGGCGGGCCGATGTAGTGTTGTTTTAGCTTGCGTTTCCCCCCCCCTCTGCACATCTCTGCAGGACTTGCCGGCGAGGTGCTGATGCTGCGCTATACGCAAGGCTATTGGGTGGCCGCAGAGGGTATAGAAACATGTATATTTTGAGGGTCCGTATAAATGTACATTAATAGGGACCCTCAAAATCAAACAAAATGTTGAAAAAAAAACATGTATATTTTGAGGGTCCCTATAAATGTACATTAATAGGGACCCTCAAAATTACGTTAAAATGTGAGAAAACACGTATGTGTTATCAAAAAAGTGTGTATTTTTGAGGGTCCCCAGTACGAGCGAATCGCGCGCATTGGACGGCTCTATTGGCCCCGGGCATAAAAGGCAAAGTCCGGCCCCCGTTCGTCGGACAGACGCTCGGGGTCGAACAGCGCGCCCAATTAAAAAACTTTTTGTTGGGCGGTGCTGCTGGTGCACTGCTGTGCAGGCTGGCAGCATGGTCTACCAGCGCATATGCTATCCCCTTACATGGCACTGCTGGGTATGCGAGGCGTGGCAGGATGCTCGATGCAGACGCCCCCTCCACGCAAGGCAATCACAAGCATGATCCACAAGGTGTATTGATACAAGAGATTGCCGATTGCAAGCTGACGCAGTTCACGAGGCTGCAGCCCATCAAGGCCCCAAAGCTGATCACGCATGCGAAGAGGACGAGGCGCGTTGGGGCGCTCGGCTAACAAAAGGTGACGCACTGCTGACCAAGTCTCACAGGAGCGGCCCGGCCTGGCCACCAGCAAACCTGCCTTGCCGCGCAAGGGCAATGATGTGTTTGACAGAGCGCCACCTGGTCAAATCTCCGTGCACCTTGCGGTGGACGATGTCTAGGCTGAGGACTACAACATCGAAACGGAGGTTCACACCACCATCTAATGTCCCCAGGACGACTATGACCAGAAAACAAATGCAGGACATAGTACGCTGGCTTATTGCGTAGTGCTTGCGCATATGGGACTGTAGCCTGCTGGTGGAGAAATATTCTCGCAAACATACCAAGCAGTGCGTGGCAAAGCAGTAACTGGCACTTAAAGCTGCTATGCTGTGCTGATTACGCTTTTGGACTGCAAGCTGCTGGCTGGTGGGAAACGCTTTGAGGCACATCTCACAGGTATGCTGCGCCATGGGAACAAAGGGGACCCTTTATGGTACAAAGTTTAAAAAGGAACATACTGACACTGTCGGCTGGCTCTATACTCCGAGCCTTTGAGGGTGAACATGGGTGAACTAAAAGGGGTGCTTGGTTTGACAAGTCATTGCAGGGTCCAACTAGATGTCTGCCCCGAAAACCACATTCCAGAGAAAACTCACTTCAGACTGGCCCATTCAAAAGGTGATGCGTACATTCTTGAGCACATGTGGCCACGGAGGCCATCCCACGAGCACAAGATGGCAACGCCAGCGTCCGCTTGGCAAAAGCGCCTCGGCCAGGGTATAGAAGGCGGCCAGCATGCTGATAAACACCAGCTCCTGGGTTTGCACTCCCCAAATCAACATCGCCCAAAAACCAAGAAAGTCAGGGGAACCTACCGGAGATTCCTCTAAATGGATAGTGTCTGGGTTCCACGTTCACTGAGAAACCAAAGAGGTTGTAACCCACCCAGTGAAAGGGCAGTCGGCAAGGTGCGACCATTGGGCACGGAAGACGCCGACATGGAAACCCCTTCAGGACGAAAGAGAAACCAAACAGAGATTCGAAAGGGAAACCTAAACGGCCACCCAAACGTGGCCCCCCTGCAAAAGGGAACTTATGGCTGGTTTGACATGCAAAATGAAGGACACTCAAAGGGGCAAAAGGGCAAACATGCTATTGAGTCTGGCAATGTAAGAGACACCCTGTAGAAATCAAGCCATGCTGACCGAATGTTGACGTGCAATAGGGGTAGTTGCTCGAGCTCGTTTTCTCGTTGAATGCTGAATATCACCTCGCCATAAGCCTTTTGACGGTTTGCCTTGGATTCTTGATGGTAAACGCGTAGGCTGCAATTCTTGAAGCCTCCAAATAAGACTTTCAGGCCGTGCTCTGATTTTGGGGAAAGCGGGAAGCTGAGATCCTCTGCACCTGCCAACCTCCTAACGGGTCCCAACCCGAGGCTGCGATTCTCCCGAGGCTCCATCCAGTGAAGCACTGGAAGAGACCGACTTTTGCCGAAGAAGAGCCTCGACATCACGGCAGCTACCACCTCAGCGCGAGGACTTCTGAGCACCGAGCTTCCGGCTGTTTGCTGGCATGGCCTGAGCTTATACATGTTTGAACCCCTGTTAAAACAACCTCCTTTTGGTCTCCCTTTTAAACCAATTCTGCCCACGCGGGCTCACCTCACTACATTTCCTCCTCAAGCATCACCCCAAGAGGTGAACTTACAATAAAATATAGGAAGCCCGAACAAGACCAATTCTGTTCGAAACCCTTTCTTCCCTTGTTATTCCCAGAAGGCCTGTCAGGGATTGAAGGTTCACTGGCCTTGCCAAACAGGGTTGCAGCCCCTCGTGGTCGACGCGGCATCCAACACAGGCCTGTCATTTTGGCAATAAACTCGTCTCAAGTTTGGATAAGTGCATATAAGTGCATCTCTCTTTTCAAGGTAGCCCAAGCGAAACCACCTTTCACAGAGAGATGATTGGAACCATACCTAAAGCTTGTGGAATCTATTGTGTTTCACTCCCCAAGCTGAAGCCCGAAAATCCATACAATCATTCTCATTAACAGAAACTAAGTGGAATCCATCTACATGCCCAAATTGAAACCAAAGGACTCCATATGCATCTCAAATAGGTCTGGACAAATCCAATTGCTCCTCCCCTGTTTGCTTCCTTTTGGTTTGTTTGGGACAATGAAATGGGCCTTTTTTGGCATTCTTTCTCACATCGCGAAGCGGCGAGCTTCATGTTGGCAATGACCACGTACACAGGGCCCGAGCCCTGCGAGAGCGAGGCTTTCACCATTGATTCGGGCTTCGGGTTTAGCCCCTCCCTCCATACCCAAGGAAACATGTATGGGAATATGGTCTTTTCTCAGGGTTCCAAAAGATTGCTTCACCTAGATGCGGAATCCACAACAAAACACAATTGTGTCTGCGTGTCTGTGTGTCTGTGTGTCTGCGTGTGTGTGCGTGTCTGTCTGTGTCTCTGTCTGTGTCTGTGTCTGTGTCTGAGTCTGTGTCTGTGTCTGTGTGTGTGGCTGTGTGTGTGTGTGTCTGTGTGTGTGTGTGTGTCTGTGTGTGTCTGTGTGTGTGTGTCTGTGTGTGTCTGTGTCTGTGTGTGTGTGTGTCTGTGTCCGTGTCTGTGTTTGTTTCTGTGTTCGTGTCCGTGTCCGTGTGTTTTCGAGGGTACCCCTCAGCATACCATAATTTGTGCTCAGCTCGGCCTTCTGGACGGATCGCAGTGTGAGCAATTCGCCTACAGCATAGATGAGGCCCAACGGCAGCATCTTCAAAACCTCACGTCGATCCCTACGTGACTGGGCGGTGGTTGAAAGGGGACCCCCCCCAAAAAAATGAACCCATCCAAATGCAATCGCTTTAACTGGGACCGTCCCATGGGACCACATCTGGGGTACACAAATAATAATGTGTTCTGATTCTGGTTCATATTTAGTCGACCCGGGGATAACAACTAGTTTTGGAGGAGATCCCACATTAGAGGGCTTTTTGATGGCATCAAAGTTCAAGGGGCATGTTTGCCCCGAAGTGACCCCTGAAGGGATGTCCCATCGGTTTAAGCCTCACTTCCCGAGATTGTTGAAACTATTGGTTTACCCTTTATTGTTGTCGCTAAAACTTCAAGCTAAGCCCAAAACAGGGCTCACAAAAACACCACCGTACTCCGCCGACTGAGCAAATCTCACGGTTCATTTCTGCACTTGGGTGGTTTTTCAATCCAGGGAGCCTCTTTTTCAGGGTTTCCAGCGGAAGCCAAAAGGAAACCAACCACCTTTTTAGGCGTCCCTAATTTTGAGAAACACCCAAGAAACAAGCAAGGGCCAAGTTTTTGTCAACGTCAGTTCCCGGTTGACAACATGGGAGCAAACAAGTAGTTCCAAGTCGGCGGGGCCGATGCTCTGATCGCTGTGGATGGAACCGCCGACTTGCTGACTGTCAACTTCTGGGCCAGAAATTGGACCCTGTGCGAAAGGTTAAAAGGTCGAAGGTAAGTTAAGTCTGGCCATGTCGCAAGGACCCTGCTAAAATCCATCCCCTATAAGGAAAACACCTCTCATAAATCTGGAGACGTCAGTTGATCCGAAGTAGAAATTGATAGCATGGGGCCCTTCTGTTCGACCTGGTCTTTCTTTCATGCCCAGCCGAGTAGGTCAACAAAAGACCAGTGTTGGGCCCGACCAAACAACCTGCTGCGCAAAGACATTTTCCATCATGCGACCTGCTGGCTGTTGCTTTTACCGAGATGCTTCCCCCCCGCGCCAAAGAACATGGAACCGGAAAATAGAAAGGTATTCTGAATAGGCTCTAGAATCCCCCACTTGAGAGTCGGCAACGAAAAGCTAGAGCTCGAGCAAACTCTTGAGCGGGATGTTTTTTAGCGCTGGAGCAAGCCAGAACGGAGGAAAAAGCAATTGGGGAAGGAGACAAACGGAAGGAAACCAACAAACGGATCAAAGAGAAAGGGCAGGGAGGACTGCAAAGAGAAGAGCGGAGACAATAAAGACAAACAAAGCATGGACAAAACTGCAAAAGCTCACAGAAAAAAAAAAAAACAAAACAAAAAACTCTCCAGGAGTGAGGTGCAAAGCCACTTAGTTTTTCTCCAAATGGTGAACCCCCAGAATGGAATGTGTGTTTTTCCTCAAAACTCTCAACAAAAAACATGCACCCACTCCTCCTTCTCTGGCCAAGGCGCCAGGGCTTTGTCTGAGAAAATGGCCGACAGCTTCAGCTTCAAAGACACCTCGAGCAGACATAGAGCCGCGGCCATACACGCTTTCCACAAGTTGGCAAACAAAAAATCCGTGGGCCTGGTAGGGGAATCTTGGGAGAGCCTGGATGGGCGCCCTCCTCCCAAACTAGCAGTCCACCGAGTCTTGGCAGCTCACATGAAGCGCAGCCTGGCTTGTACCAAAGGCGCCTCGTCTTAAGAATTACCCACATTTCACAGACCGACCTTCTGGGCGGGAAGGGTTTATTGGTCATGACGTTTGCGATACGGGACCCCTCAAATGTCTTACTTTCTTGTGTATCCACCCAAACAAGATATCCTAACAAACGACGGACTCAGTTGTTCTAGTGAGAAATCAGCGACTTGGCAGTGTGGCCAGAACTTGACTGGTACGAGAGCATGATTGGTGGGTTCGGGACGTGCTGAAAATGGGATCAAGCCCCCGAAAAGGCATCCGTCGCTCTACCACGGTTACTGGGAAATCGGGATTTGCTTTCGAATGTGAAAATAATTTATTGCTTGTTTTCGTGCGTCTGTGTGCTTGTGTGCTTCCGTGTTTGTCGGCTTGTGTGTTTATGCTGGTATTGGTGTTTGGTGAATGTGTTCGTGTTTGCGTGTGTTGTATGTCTGTGTGTGTGTATGTGTGTTTCACACGGAAGTTTCAGAGCTAATCAGGCAGTTGTAGGTGGCCGCTTTGCGGGATTGAGGACGCATTCAGAGAACAATTAAAGTTTCAATTGGGCTGGAGTTGAAATCAAGTCATGTTGTGTCCGGACAGATGGCTTTGCCAAACTCGCCTTACTACTCTGGGGTGGTCCGGAGCCCCGCGTCAGAGTTTGACAATGGTTCAGCATTGGATCCCAACAACAAGGCTTAGTAATCGGCGATATGTATTTGTCCAAAGTTAACATTGTTTTGAAATGCTTGAGACAAACCCTGAAAATTACAAGCACGGGACGGGGGCGTTCTCTCCAGGCCACTGCCAACAGGGCCAAGGAGAGCTGCAGGGCGTCGTTCACTAAAACCACCGAGACGGGGCTGAAGGGGTAGGATCTGGCCTCCTCGTGTGAATTGTATTGGGGACAGTGGGACATCCTTTAGGGCCAATTGCTTGTGTCTTGTTGAGGGTACCCCGATTTTGGCGGCTTATAAAGGAAAACCAAAGCAACACCACGGGGTGTACCCTCCAAAAAGGACCTGCTTCAGGGGCGTCATGTCCATCAGGTGGTTCCAACTCTCAAAAAATCCGCTGAGTTGGCAAGCAAGGAGAGGTCAGGAAGCCTACCTCCGCCCTGGGCCAACCCCTCATCCCACTTGGAACATGTCTGGCTCATCAAAGTAGGATCTGGCCTCCTCTCAGGGCTCCCTACATTTACGACCACCCTAAGAAACCAACAATTGCTCCAAGTCTAGATTGGTCCAGGGCGTGGTTGCAAATTGTGTCTAAAGAATCAGGGCATGGCCACCTTGCTCGAACAAGAGGTATTTGAACATGTTCAAGCAAGGGGTTGCCGCACTCCTAGGCGGCATCCCATGAAATGCAGCCCTAAAGCAACCAGCACATCCTGATCAACCAAGGGGAAACCACATAGTCCGGGTGTTAGCCTCAAGTCCAAGGGGTCCGAATCTCCAAATTGTCTTTTCGGTTGACTTGTCGGAAGAGGAACCCAATTTTGTGGAAAACTCTAGCAACCTGCTTATGATCATGATAGATCCTACCATATCTTATCATCCCAATGAAACCAGGCAGTAGATCCCCCAACAGAGGTTTTAGTGACTGCTTCAAAGCTCTTTGGCCTTGAGGAACAACATCAGACTGAAGCAATCCAAGAATGTAAGGCTCACATGCTACGGACCGAATGACTTGATTTGTGAAAAGGACATGGATAAATTGGGGACTACAATTATTTTAGTCAAATGACTCACATGAGCAGCTCCCAAGACCCATTGACTGCTGGTATGGCCAAAAGAATCGTGAAGATGTTTATGGCGCTTCTCTATCATCCTGTACCGCTAAAATCGCCAATGGGACCTTATAGGAATTTTGGGTGCTACTCACACAAGGCCTGGAGCAACGCACTCCTTGGTCCCCTCCAGGGTCACCTCCCGTTCCATCGCGGTCTTGGACCAGTCGAGGAGTGTGGGATAGAACGCGCCCACCACCTTGGATGGTCAGGATATTTTCTGAGTAACCCGCAATGAACCCGCAGTTGGGTCCAGACAGATCCAACCCAAAAGTTGACTTGTTGCCCGTTGAAAGGGGCACACTGGGAACACCCGAAAGGCACAAAGTTAAAAAGGTCAGCCAAGGCCAACTCCTTGACCGTCCAAGTGGCACTTGAAAAACCCCGCCGGCGACTGGCCGTGGGTGGTTCGGCATTGGACACAGCGCAGGAGAACAACTAAGGCTGGAAAAGGAACCTTGTTCGCTTTTGGCTGGGAAATCAATGGATCACTTCCATGGGTTGGCCAACGCAAGATCGAACTCGTTATTAACATGATCTGCCCGAAGTATAGAGTGCAGGAACTCAGGAAATGAGATGGGGCCCTCTTTGCCATTTGGGAGCCTCAAGTCGAGTGACCGGTGGGGCGGATGCGGCTTGCCCACAGAGCATAGAGTTGCGAGAATTCGGCATTGAGAGCGCTGCCCCTGTTTTGAAGATTGTTTTTGGATGTGTGCAACAATGCCTACATAATTAAAAACCAGATTCGGCAGATTCTTTAATTATTTGGGGCGTGCTTCATCTAAAATTGAAGGACGCCACACCCCCAAATACATCAACCAAGCGATTGTTCATTCAGCTGGGTTCTCACTATCTTGCAAAAGCGCAGCGACTGTGAATCCAACAGCCACCCTTCGGGTTGGAGTTGGCTTGCTCACTAGTACTCTCAAAGCCCAAAGGTTTATTAGGGAATGGTCTCACCCTAATTGACACAAACCTTCTGCGAACCGCTGGGTATCTTCCTTGGAATGGAGGAGTTTTGAAAAGATTTTATGAACCATCAACCTGTCTCATTCATTTTATCCGTAGTATGGTGCATTTGTTCGAAACAAATATCATATCGCTCCCATCTCCGCTAACTTCTAAACCCCCGCTTACCGCCTCAGCCCTTTCCCTCAGGTAAGATCCGATTCTGGCCGCAGCAAGGGAAAGCCAGGTGGGTTGGCTGGGAAGTGTTGCGGTGTCAGCACACTTTCCATCCAAGTCGCGGTGCAGAGCACGCAAAGGAAAGCCTGCACCAGCATGTACTTCCTCGACTTTTTCTTCCTGGCGCTGCACCAAGCCCGAGGTTGCCCGGTGCATTGCCAAGTTGTTTTGTTTGTTTTAACCATCTCCGTTTGTTGGGTGATGTTCTTGAGGGATGATCGCCCGACATAAAAATAAATCAAGGGTGCCACTCAGCAAGCCAGAATCACACAGGTTCCACATGTCACAGAAACGGACCATTATCTACTCATTATGCTCAAACCTTTAAGCTTCATGTTGCTCTCCTCCTTTGGCAAACACATGATTCGGAAGCCCCCTTTCTCATGTTCCTCAAATGACTGGGCATGCGTCAACATAGGGTGACTTGAAAAATGGGGGGCTTTCCTCTTGGTCTCCCTCGGCACACCAAGTTTGACATGGGTTCCGGCCCCAAAGAAAACACCAAGTTGGCAACCTGCGACATCTCAACTCTGGCCTCGTCGGGGACATCTCCGGATCCCCCGTCTTTGCTTCCGCCCCCATTGCGGCAGGGAAATTTCCGACCGGTTCGGGTCCTTTTTCGGCCCAAGAGCCACGCCCGGCCTTTGGGAAGCTTTTGGCTTGTCGCTTGCTGAAAGCTCTGGGCCTTGCCCAAAACTGCCATACCTCCGAACCTCATGTCCTTGCATCAACCATGTGTTGGAGCCAAAGCTGCGGGATCGAGAAACGTGAAGCGGTTCACTCGGGGTCGAAAGAGGAAAACTTAGATGGGCTGGGAGTCGGCTACACTACATGGTTCGTAACCCTGAGTTTTCAAGGAACCCCCTTGTGCGGTTGCTATACCAGGAAAACGAAAGAGATTCCGCACCCATTTGGGGTAGGGTTTACTTGCGGGTTTACTGTGAGGGGGGTGGCCGCCTGGCTTTTTCCCAGAGCATATAATACAAGCAGGACCCTTGAGGGGACCAGGTCCCATGCACACCAGCATGAGGTCAACCTCCTTGCAGAGGCCACGAGGATATGGTTATTGAAAAAAAAAACAGAGGGCGCATTCAATTCGCTTTCTGCCGAGCTGCCTGCAAGGGGCTTGTGTATCGGAGCGAACCAAGAGCGGGGGGTTAAGGAAACCGCACATTTTTGGCGATTCTGGCGAACGGCGAGGGTTCCCACAAATTCTCCCTGGATTGAGGCCCAAAAACAAACACCCCTCCCACCCCAGGCGCCTCTACCAGAGCCGCTGTCCATCTTTGCAGGCTCTCGTCTGTGTCCGCCTAACACTTGCTCAACCAGCTTCGCTGAGCTCCAAACGAGAACGCGAACGGCCGCGTGGTCTGAAACACCTAAATAAACAAACGAATAAATAAATAAATAAATAAATAAATAAATAAATAAATAAATAAATAAATAATAACTGAATAAATCAATAATTGAATACATGTTTGTTTAATATATATATATATATATATCTATTGTGTGTGTTGTGTTGCGCTGTGCTGCTATGTGCTGTGTAGTGTTGCGCTGTGTGTGTGTGTGTCATTTCCATGTTGCCACCCTAAACGCCACCCTTCGCATCGCCATTTCAGTGGCGGGTTCCAATGAATCCGCAACTTTGGGAGCTCCCAGACGCGGAACCAGTCACCAAACGCCAGCCGCGCCTGAAGGATCTCCTTCCGCGAGCTGCCTGGTGCCAAAAGAACCCATGGCTTTGCCGCGGTGTTCCCGTCTTTTCTGTTGGGTTTGCGGTCTTGAATGCTGGAAAGAGTTGCCGGCACTGGATTTCCCGGACCTTTGGAACAGGGACCAAGGTGAACAATCAAAAAGGGTAGCTGCACCTATCTATGGTTGGGACTGTCCCGCTACTGTCTCTATCCTGGCTTTGAGTCTGGAGCTCAACAGAAACTGGCATGAGGATGTTACAATCCCCCTGAACCCACATTGACCATGCACTGCTGGCTTACTGGTCGTGATTCCATGTGCTATTACTCGGAAAATACACGCTCGCGTAGAGAACCAAGGGAACCATCCTATAAGAAATCTGCCAGGTTTGGGCCTATTATTGTTTAAACCCCTGTTTTGCGAATTTGATTTCCCTTGAAATTGGCTCGGGACCTGGCTTGTCAAACGCATACCTCTGAAACTTGGATAGTGGTCTGTTTGACTTTCAAAACTCGATCCTTGTGTGGGCTATGACTTCTCAGTGCCTCGCTGATCCCTTGCTAAAGTTAAAATTTTAGCCGGATATGTCATAAAATACCTCTGATATCTCAGAGTCAAAAAGTCAACACCAGGGTGAAACTAGATGCCACAACTCCCTTTCTGTCGGAAACAAAGCTGGGGGTGGGGGTTAATTTTGCCACCTGTGTTCACCTAATTCACCGCAATGGCCGGGAACCGTCAAGCCACCGTTGACCTTTCTTGCTTGAAAATCAACACGGTCACATGGTTCAGCGGTGTCTTGTAGATCCGGTGTTCCCCTCTGCGCCGGGGACCCGACGCAGTCCCAGAAAGTTCTTCTTGGTCTCCTCCACCTGAAAGCACCTGCGGGCGAAATGTCACGACCAAAAGCTCCATGAAAGAAGGATGATGGCTTTGCACGTTGAACCAGGCAGCACCTGCATTTTGCATATGTCTACATTCCTTAGACTAACATATATTTTGAATCTACGGCAAAGCGGCAATGCGCAACTTTGGATGGATCCGGAAAACTGCATGAACTGCAACATCGATGCGATTGAGAGGGGTTCTTTTCAGAATTCTGCAACTCAAACTGTGCATTGGGAGGGCGAGGGCGAGGACTCACCTGGTGGCCACAGTCACGGCCTGGGGCGTATCGGCTCATGAGACACTGCGTCTGGTGCCAGAGATCAGGGCAATTTATCATGGAGCTGGTACCTGCTTGGGTTCTCGAAAAGGGCCACCAAACAAAACATCAGTCATTTTGCTGGGGAGTCCTCTATCTCACCAAGGTTACAACCCCGAAATGTGGAACTCCCAATGGACCTCCATGAGCTTGTTGTATCCGGTGGGATCGGAATCTGATGTGCGCAACCGGGTGCAAAAGCTCGGCGTTTTCTCGAAAACTGCGGCTGGCTCGCGTCAGCCAACTAGGAAACCTTCATACATGGCGATCCTCAAATACCATCAGTTTGGGACAAGTCCAAGCTATTTCATGAGAAACAAACACCCAAGCTAATGTCATCTTCGGATTCATCCAGAGGACCATACTAATCAGGGGTTGTTCCCTTTTAGATGGGAATCACTTCATTTGCAGATGAGCATGGTCCTCGTATTTAAAAAAATCCGGAGTGAACATCAATTCAAGTAATCATGTGAAACTCGGATTCTCACTCGGCCACCTCGGTGCAGAGAGAAGGCACCGAGTGCAAATCTTGGCCGCCGGACTCGGATTCTCACCCAAGTTTGCATTGCTCAAAGAAACCTTCAGAAAGCCGCCTGAGATCCAATTTGCCTTTCGGGTGGGAAAATCAAAAGTTGGACCCCCGGGAGCACTTTGACCCACTTTAGATGGAGAAACGAATCAGGGATACATCTACGGAAGGGCGGGGAAGAGGAAGGGCTTTTAAATGAGTTGTCTCCTCTAAAGTAAGGTTTGACTTGGCCTCCAAAACATGCCTCCCGCATTGGTCCCTCCTGTCTACTAATTGGCATTCTCTGACTTACCCTGTGATTCAACAACCAAAGAAATCATAGGGTCCACATGGAATCCGAGTTTCTCCAGCAAAACACAAGGTTTCTGGGCCGTCAAGTGCTTCAGGAATCCCGGGTATCCATGATGCTCTCCAAAGGCAACACCTGGTTGAAAAGGCACACCACATTCTCGGATCCGAAATCCACCCGGCTATACAGAATCGGTTCTTTTAACTGTTTAGTTCAACACTGATGCCCGCTGACCCCGGCACCCTTTTCCGGTCATGGAGGTGTCCTGAGGCCATTCCAAGAGGATTCCAAAAGCCTCCGATCGTCCACTTCCGTTGCTGGAAAGTGGAACGAGTTGCATGTCCTTCGTTTGAACTCACTCAGAACTCGCAAAGAGTAACAGGGTGGTGGCCGCTGGACCACCTGGACAACCTTCGATCTTCTCTCTCGCTTTGAAACCATCCGCAGAATTCGCGAATGCCCCCCGTACCTCTCCCGCAATCCCACTTTAGTCCTCCTCGAAAACTAAGACATGGAGCAAATAATAATGCAGATCTCCAGGGGGGGTACCGTGGGGATTCGCATGCGAGAACTTTCCTGGACCACTCGACCATCAGTCAACGACGATGACTGCAGCCAGGCGACCCTCGGAGAGCCTCGGGTCTTGAGTAAGAATGGTTGCTCTGGCAGCCATTTCGCTTCCCCAAACATGGCGCGGAAGTATTGAACATGCTTGACTCTTGCCAAAAAAGGATGTAAGCACCCCTGTCCGAGAGCAGGGACTTGATTGAATTTGAGGTTTCACCCCCTTCGCGGTGCTGGAATCTTACACCAACAGGCACTACAATCTAGAACGGTTTTTGGGTAAACTGCTGCTAGTGGGGACGGCCCAAGATTGAAGTTTAGACAGTTCACTGTCGAAGATTCCTGGGCAGATCAAAGTGAAATACCGGATCCTCAAAGAAATTGAGATCGCCGAGTGATCTCGTAAGACTGGCATGCGCGCTCGACTCTTGCCATAAAAGTGGTGCACATCCAACCCACGAATGGCCACTCCAGTTGAGCAGCATCCAACACCCACAAGAGTTTGGTTGTCACAAAATGCTCATGAAAGTTGGTGCAGCCCTCAGCAACTGCCACACTTTGGCCAGGGTTTGAGAACCTGCGCAACCCTAAAATTCCCTGTTGGACCCACAGTTTTCAATCATGCGCCTTCCAGCCCGTGTTGTCGGCCCTGTTTTGTGAGGGAATCCACCATAGAACTCACTCTCTATGTGAAACCCATGTTAAGCCAGGGCACAAGGCCTCCTAAACCAATCAGACATTCTGCTTAGTAAGGCGGTGGTCAAAAAGGTTTATATAGGCCTTTCCATGAAACGCATTTTCTGAGCTCCTACAAATTGCACCAACTAATATTGGCCCAACCTCCAGACAGAGGAGCCCTCCGGAATGGCCAGGCGTCGGATCGGTTTTGGGCACTCGACTGGACAGCCTCCCGCCACTTTCGCCCGCATCCATCCGGCCAAAGCACGTAGCGACAGACCAGGCCAGGAGGTGCGAACCCATCCTCGGGGGCTCAAAGGCTGAACGTCTACATGGCCGGGGAGTTAGCTTGGCAAGCAACCCCAATGACCAGGGCTTGCGGGAGGCTTCCCGGGATTTACTGAAAATTACTAACCCCTTAGCCAACTCTCGGACCATATATATAATACATATATATATATATATATTCAGCTTTCGATGGGTTTACTGCAAATGAGCGTGGAAGGCCCCAAAAAGGGATCTCAAACGGGTGTCCCCCAGCAAAGGGGAGGGTCCCGATAAGAAAATGATCTCGACCTCCAAATCGGGAGCTTGTGGGCACCACGCTCGCCAGGAGGGTACTGACTGTTTTCCTCACCCTGCAATAAGATCGCAAGTTTGGCATAGCAACATGCCTTA